AGGTTAAATCGCTTAATTTATCTTGATTAAGAAACGACACCACACTGGTTCTTCTTCAATGGTGACATTTTCTTCTTCCTTTAATTAACTTCCTCGAAAAGGTTAGGATTAGGATTGAAGAAAATAGAGGTTTAGAAGCTAATATATATTAAAAATGGCTATTATCTATATCTATGCGCCGAAATATAGATCGGTCGCGACGATCTGTTTCATTTTTTTAGGTTGTCGTTGCAGCGAATCCGCCGCCGCCTAATAAACTGGATGGGTAGAGGTGCGTTTTAAAATATCGAATTGATTTTTAATTCACAGCATTATATATATATCTATATCATTTGTACATTATTAGTTTCCAAATAATATAAATTTGATATAAACCAATTATTTAGGTAATAAATATAAATAAATTAAAGATCAGATCTTTAGCTAAATGATAATTGTCGTGGATGAATATGATTTTATATGGACTTAATTATTTTCTTTTGGCATTAAGAATTTTTCCATCGATAAAAAGATTCTTCTTGGCAAACCTGTTTGTAGTTACTCAAATAACTCATAAGTCTAGCGTTATGGCATCTTATTAAAATTTAGGCTTAGTAAATTTCTAACCGACATCATAAATTATATCACCCGTTTACTTATTTATGCTTTTTAACTGGAAAATTTAATTTATATTTATTATTCACCAAAAAGCGAATTAATATTTCGGATTAATTATTAATGAATCTCTAGGTTTAATGCTATACTCAGTAAATTTCTACTCGTAATTAGATGTACTGATTATTGATAAAAGCAATATTAAATATTTTATTTTGAACCAGACATTTTAATGTCTGTTTATAAATCAGAATAGATAAAACAAAAATGAAATTAATATATTATAATTATAAATTAATATATTATAATTATAAATTAATATATTATAATTATAAATTAATATATTATAATTATAAATTAATATATTATAATTATTTAATAATAGAATTAATATTCCTTTATTATCAAATTATATAATTCTGAATCTAACTAATTTGAGTTTACTATATTTCCCGCTTCTTTAGAACCTTTAATTTGTCTATCTTCAATCGGTTATGCGACATGTTAAATGAACCTAACATGTTAAAAAAACCACCAATGACTACCTAGTTTCTATCATTAGCATTGTTATATTTGTCAAGGGTTGTCGCTATTTAATATAATTTTAATGTTGTACTTCTGTCTAACTCAATATTAAGAATCAAAAAAATACAGTATACAAGATACAAAAGGATATTGTTCTTTTTATCTGCCATGCACATATTCGCAGAACTGCCCAATTTTGGGGTACCGGTAATTTCGACAGTGCATCTGTAAAACTTGTTTTTGCATCTAATAAGCATAAGCTGCCTTTTTCCTTGTAAACCGGAAAACTGATAGATTGCGTTTTTCTCCAATCTAGCTGTTTAATAAGTTTTTAATGGTAATACTTCTCCACTTCGAAGAGATGGACACATGCTTTTTTATTAATCGAAATCTAGTTCTTTTCTGAAATTAAGAGCTCTCATAAAGTTATGAGATTGGTTTAGTACCTTTTTTTTCTTAAAGATTTACTCAGAAGCGTCTCTCCTAATCCTGTTTTAGAATCGTCCTATTCCAGAACGGTAGATCAACAGAGTAAGGAATCAGCATGGGGATAGCCATTTATTTTATTCAATATCTCCTGCTACAAGATAATCCACCGCCACGGTACCCTGACGATAGAGAGCTAAAAATGAGCAATGAAGCGTTCATGAATATTAAGTCATAAATAATTTTACTCTAGTGAACGTTATGTAGGGAGGCGTAATCAGGATCGTCTTAACCTTTTCAAGAGTCTGATGGATCTCTCACTTCATTATGGTGTTCAAAAAAAATACAGAATCCTGAAAGAAAGGTAATTTATATAATATGACTTTGAAGGCCTTCAGCGCATAGCTATAGGTGAAGGGGGGGCTGAGAAATTTCCTCGCTTCGGTAATTTTTCATTTTTCTGAAATATAATTTTAAGCTAATAAAAATAAATCTATACACTCCCCACCCCTTTTATTTTGAATTAAGAATATGCTATCTCATTATAAAAGAAAATCTTTTAACAAATAAGTATAAAAATAATTTCTTTTAAAATAATGACTAAAATTTAATTTCTTTTGAAAAATATAACCCAGCCGAAGACATGCAATAAATGGCATAAAGCAATATGATCTATGAGAGAAAAACTCACGCATCAGAACCTCCCCCCCCCTACGCTATGTCTATGTGTTTCAGTTGTTCAGAGATACAACCCGAAATCATTCTCTAAGTTTCAATTTTTGGGGGTTGCAATCTTCCGATTAGGTAACTTAAATAGAAAGTACTAAAAAGAAAACCCTCTTCTGCATAAAAATATAAATTAATTTGATTAAAACAGATTAGAAAAAAAAACCTTATAATAAAATTTTCGAATAATAAGGATTTGGAAGTACTTTATCGAGGCTTTTTTCACAATTGTTCGGTGCATTGGCTCAACCTTCTTCTTGTAAGGCTCATATATAGAAAAAAAATTAAAATTTTTATTTTTTAAGTAAGAGAAAAGGATTTTCCTTTATTAAAGTGATCAATTCTTGATGTTGGGTACACCAAAACCTTTGTCTTCAATACTGGACAACACTTGTTTGAGTGTTGAATATGATGCATTAAAGCTGTTGACACTATATTTAATTAAGACAGCTCATCCAAATGATTTTAAATAATTTGAGTCCTATATATTATCGAATAAAGTATTTTAAATAATTGTCGGCGAATTCAGATATACCTCAAGTCAAGTTAATTTGTCAAAATTAGTGTTTGATATTGAAACTTATATTATATATATTTATTATTAATATAATATTAGAATTTATATTTTCACTAATTACTATATAATTATGAAAAGTAAAGATCATGAACTAAATCTAAGATTAAATTTTAAAAAAAATTTATAAATTGTTAAATCCTATTATTAAATTGACATCTGTGCCCTGTCCAACTCGGATAGCATTCACACTCATAATGTTTAAAAGACTCCGAATTTTCGTAACCCGGTATCTTCCAAAATTTTTCATAATTTTTTGACTTCTTGGTATCATAGCCTTTCGGTTGATTTTTGAATAAACGTTTAATACATCTTCCGTTTCCTCCACAAAATATAGAACTGCATGCTTGGTTTGATTTTTTTTTTTAAAAAAAAATAATGTTTTTTAAAAATCCTATATGTCGCATTATTGTTATATATAAATGTAAAACGAATCATAAACTTATTGTATAGATCAAATTAAATGTTTTGCAAGAGATGTGCTTTAAAAAAACAACTTAATATTTAAATTAAAAAAAATGATCAGAGATTAAATATAAGATATTATCTTACAATTGGAATATTTTAACATCTTTTTAGATATAGGACCCAAAGTCGTTTTAATATATTGCGCCAATTCCGAGCAGTCTCCGAAATCACTGTAATCGCCCCATATAACCTGTTCAATATTAAATATTGGAAATTAAATCTTTCACTAAAAAAAACTAATTCCTATTGGTTAATCTTAATTTTAATATATCATTTTATAATTTAGTATATTTAAATAATATTAAAATATTATACTTATGCCAAAAATATTTAAATTCCATTAAAATTAAATATAATGTGATATAAACGTAAACACGCGTACATAATCTCTACAGATAGGGGAAGCCGGGGCACGTTGAGTTTAGGGGAAAGTTAGTCCCCTCCAATTATAATTTTCGCTATGATTTTATATGAGTGAAAAATAAGGCCTAATATAGATAGTAAAAAAGATCTGAAAAATATTTAGTATTTTTATTTTTATAAAAGCATACCAAAAGTAACAAAAAATGATTGCAAACTTTATCGTTTAGATTTATAACTAAAGCATTTAAAATTTAATAAATCAATTTTAGTAAATATTTTAATCTCACAATTTTTCAGAATCATAAAGTATAAATAAGATCATCATGACACTATTTTAATAATTTTAAAATGCTTTATATACAATAATTAGGGTAAAATTTATTTTCATGAAAACTAATTTTATATAAATTATCAATTCCTAAACTGTATAACCTTAGTTCTTTATAATTTCCACATGCGGATAAAATCATTTAGATTGTACTAATATATATGTATGTATATTAAAATAAATTTATTTTTATGAAAATTAATTTAATTTTTTATTCCTAAGCTATATCACCTTATCTTAACTCTTTATAATTTCCACATATAGATAAAATCAGTTAGATTGTAATAATTATTATATAATTACTCCAAATAAATTATCAAATCTTAGACTCTATTGCACTAGGTTATACTTTAACATTTATAAATTTGTTCTTAGAATATTTATTATTAATTATATTAGATTGTTATGCATGTAAAATTTGGCACATGGAACTTGTGCCAAAGATATTTTTTATGTGCAATATTTTTATTTAAATATTTAAATTATGTTTATTTAAAAATTTTTTAAAATTATTTTTACAATTTTTTTTTTGAAAAAATATGATAAATTTCCTAAAATTTGCGAAATTATTTTTTTATATACTTATTGTATTATAATTCATCAATAAAATCAAAATGGTTATAGTCTATAGTCTTATAACAGTACTTATTTTATTTTATTTAGACCTTTATTTTATGCGAACTATCGCATATAAAAGTCCTAACTTACTCAGAGTATGGCATGGTTGGGCCAATTTTTTTTATTAGATGTCTAAAAAATATAGTTTTTATAAAATATATCAGAGATCTGCAGACCTGGTCTTAACACCAGTCCGGTTCGAGGGCCGTATTTTAATTTTTTAAATATACCTAAAAAAATACCCTGGCCGGGCTGTGTAAATGGTACATCTGTAGGTCTCTGAAATATATACAATTATTCCCAATAGCCCATACTTTAACTTTTAGGATTCAGAAAATATTTTATTTATTCAGATTAGTTTAATATTATTGAATTTATTTAGGTTTGAACGAAAATGTTCCAACCTACCCTGGTCTCCCCTATCTACAAATTTAGATTATTAGAGTAAAAAAAATTTTTAAAACTATTCCGGATAATCCAGTATCTATAGCTTGTCCAATGCTATTTTCCATGTCGACTTTAGATAAAAATGTCGGAAAAGGTTCTTTTTCATAATGATACCGAATGTAAGCATATATTGGCATATTATCAGGACCTGATCTTCTGCTCATTCTCTTTGCTTCGTTCATTCCTGTAACAATAAAAAATAGATAAGAACCTTTTTATTTAAGAAATTATTGGCTAAATCTATTTCATAACAAAAAAAATATAACTAATAACGTTTTCCTTTTATTCATAAATTTCCCTCCCTTATATTAGTCGAGACTCTTTGTTGGGATATCTTAAAATTAAATAAATTTTATAAGACAACTTTAGCTTTATTTTGTGTATAATAGTGAAATGAATCTGTAATATTAATTTTATAATATTTATTAAATTTATTGTCATTCTAAAATTAATGGTTTACTCTCAGTGGCAGAGTCTTATTCTGATTTATATTCAATATTAACATTTTCTTTAATATTTTTAATCAATTTCCCTGTTGTTGACCTCCTCAATCTATTTCTGTTTGCGCATGAATATTAACCCAAATCAATCAATTTCTTTCTGAAGAAAAATTAGAACTAGGTAATTAGTAAAAAGCCATATCTCTTAAAGGAAAAGGCGAACAAAGTCCATTACATAAACTTGGGGTCAAAATCTGATTGTTTCTAGAAGTCACTGCTTTCAACATATTTTGCTATTAAATTTGCTGCTTTTACTTCTGAAATTTATGAAATCACTTGAAATATTTTGATCATCACCACCTTGTAAAATTCTTAATTCTTGTATTATATCACATGTTACATTTAACTCACTACTAATGAGATGCTCCCTAATTTAAAGATCCAATAGATAAAAGCATTTTGTTAATATGCATTTATATCCTTTTTTCTTTTTTCAAACATATTTTTAATTTTTTATTCAAATTTTTTGAGTATTTGACCGTATTTAACTAGGTAATACTTCAGTTATTTGGCTAACTTGCTAACCCTAATATAGTTTGTTGTAAAAATGTGTATGGAGTATAAATTAATTCCTGAGTAAATTCGATTAAAACTCAAAATATTTTGCCAAGGACCCCAAATTTAATGTGAGTTTAAGATATAGTGTTATGAAAATTATTAGAGAGCTGCAGATGTACCATTTACAAAATATTTTGACCCTGTCCGGATTTTCTTAAAATATATTATACTATATTTATTTTTAATTTATATAGATAATAATGGCTATTTAAAATATTTGGACCAAAAAAAACTTAGGCCCAGCTGGATTCGGGTATATTTAAAAATTAAAATACGGCTGAACCATGTACCCAGGCCTATTTGGGGTTAGGACCAGGCCTGAAGATCTCTGCTATTTATGATACTACTTCTATACATTTGAAAATCCGTCATAAAGTTATGTAATAAAAAATACATAATTTTATCATTATAAAATTACAATTTTTTACAAATCCGCAAAACTATTTAATTTGGAAATAAGCTTAGAAGAAATAGTCGGTTTTATAAATCTAAAAAACGAATAGAAAAGATAACTCTTGCAGAATTCATTGGAGAACGGAATATTGTCTCTGATGTATCTTTTAAATAAATATGCTATGATACTATTTTTCTCACTCTTTTATTCTTTTTAAAATAAATTCAAATATAAAAAGTTCATGAATGATAAAGTGATCTTTACAATTTCATTTTAATGTAAATATAATCTATCACTATTTGGAAATTAATATATCTGTTAAAATGAATCACTTTTTTAAGTAAAATATATGTTAAAAATAAGATGTAAACTACAAAAGTCGGAGTTAGGTTGAATGTGAGACCATTCCACACGATTTAACAGCTGATCAATTTTTAAAAATCTTTTGAAGATCAATTTTTCTTTATTAGAATCAATAAATCATAGATTTTCATCATGAATAGAAATGAAAATAAAATTAATATTAATAAAGAAAAATTGATCTTATATTTCGGGTTGGAGCTCACTCTTGAAACCGTATCCTTATGAGTTTACCTGGACCTTATAGGCCCAAAGTTTCCTTAGCCTGAAATACATTCATTCTTCTAAAACATTGATGATGCAAATATTTTAGCTGTTTTTCTGGTCCTGAGTATATAAAATATCCGGTCTTATTTTTATGAATAGCCTGATAAAGTAATATTTATCAAACTAAAAAAAAATAGCGATATATATAAAAGGAACAAAAAAATAATATGTTCGACTCAGTATTTATAATGTAATTAAATAGTTTCTAAGTTATTTATAATCATATCTACATATATCAATATTTAAGCATAAAATAATATCGTATCATAGCTCCGACGTTCCTTAGAAGTTTCTTTTAACGGCAATACTTAACAACTCTTATAATATAATGAGTAATATAATAATTTTCAAAATGAATGATTAATTAATAATATACTCTTTAAAATGTAAATAGCTCTCTTTTCGGCATCAGGTATAGTCCTAATATTTATGTAACAATTCGGAAACAAAACCAGGCTATCTTTGTATAACCAATTCGTTTGTACGTTTAGTCCTTTATGCTTTTTGTCACAAAAATATCCGCTCTCAGCTTGTCTGAATGTTTTTAAAAATAATTAATTTTTTTATATTGTGGTCCATTTATTATTTTTTGATATTTTAAGGTATAAGTTGTTAAAAACTTTTAATAATTTATTTTGAAAATTATATAATTAATTAATCGTATTTTATTAAATCTCAGGCTAACATATGTTTTTGCTTGTATTTTATTATGTTTTAACTTTTTATCATCTTTATTTCCCTTTTTGGCCAAATTACAACCGTTCTATTTTATATATGTTTTTTACTATATACCTCTATTACTAGTGGATTCATAGAAATAGCCGCTAAGAAGTGTAGGGAACTATCACGGGGTTTTTCCCATATATTATATTGGAAGTCTTTAGGTCCTATTATTGTAGGCCTTTGGCTATATAATATTTTTATAAAAATAGATTTTGGTTTCACTAACTTTTTTTATAAAAATGTTTTTTTTTAAAATTTTTTTAAACTATAGTCGTTATTTTAAAAGTATTAACTTTTATTAGGGTTGTGCAGATAAAATTCGATTAATAACAATATTTGACCAGTCAAATGGATAAATTCAAACAAACATTTTTTAAGACAATTTTATTCTTTAATGCTTCGCTCACTGTGGCAGAGTCTTGTTCTATATTCAATATTATCATATTATTTAATACTTAAATCAATTTGTCGAGGTCTTCAATCTATTTCCGTTTTTTGTATGAATATTAACCCAAATCGACCAATAGTGTTGTTAAACAGCTCGATTTAAGTCGATTTTAAAAAACGGTTGGCTCAATTTTTTAATCTAAAAAAATATAGAGCAAGCCTGAAGATTTCGCTCACAGATGGCATAAAGGTTTGGCCATCTATCACCGTAATCTCAAGGCTCAGACATTCTGAACTTACATATTGAGTTAGGCATTTAAAAATAGATTCTTACCCAGTCATTTAAAAACATTATTGACCAATTATCTGAAGAAAACGTTGAACTAGGAATTGATAGTAAAATGCCATTTTTCTTAATAGGCAAGATGGGCAACGCATTTCCCCTAACGCGGGGTTGAAATCTGATTGTTTCTTATGGAAGTTACTTTTCACATATTTTGCTATTAACTATGCTAAAATATTTATCATCAACACCTAAATGTTTAAATCTTGTATATCACATGCTTCATTCATCAAACTCACTATTATTAATAAACTTCCCTTGATATTGGGGATCCTGTGATCACATGTATTTATATCGTTTTTTCTTTTTTCAAATATGAATTTTACTAATTTTTCTTCCGATTTTTTTTGTATGGGGGGGGGGGGGAGTGGGTGGGTGGGAGTGGGGATGTAGGGGAATTTTTTTTATTAAGGCATATTTGAGATGGGGGAGGCCCTCCTGGTTGCGCGCTATTGCACATAAAATCTGACAATATTTATTATAATACTAATATTTTTATTCATAATAATATATACTTTTGTATCTAAGCGCCTATAGATGCCAAATTATTATTTTTTTATAAATATACATCGTAGAATAAAATTTAAACTAGTAATTAAATGAATTTGTTTTAAAAAATATTAATTTTTGCTCATTAAAAAATAGTTGGTTTTTATGGTTAACTTTTTTTTCTCTAGTTAAAAACTATATTAATTAAATATGAACACTGCAATTTTGATTCGTTTTTTATTGGCAAAGATTTTGAATAATTTTACCATTTTTTCTTGTTTACAAATGACTTTATTAACTTTTTATATTTTAAATCAAAAGGTAGTATAATTTTTATGTAGAAAAATAATAGGGGCTCAAGTATATTCTCAAGCGAAACTCGTGCCTTCCGGGTGCGACCTCTTCATTTCCAGAAAAAAAAACCGGATAAAGACGAGATCTTATTTATTAAAAATAGCGAAAGTTTATTTTATTTACGGTTTGCCCTTCGGGCTTGATCATATCCCGTTTACTAAATAAGAGGATAAAATTAGGCATAATATAAAGATTTAAGCCAAAATATAATTCCTCAAAATAACAGAAATTAGAAGGGAAAGCCTTCAATTTATGTCAGATCGGAGGCCTAACAAAATTATAAGATCAGAACGGGATAAGAAGATGTTTTACCGGAAACAGGAACCCAAGATACGAAAATTCGGTATGTTTTCTTTTAAAATGATGGTACAATTTATATTTTATTTTATGAGGGCTAGGGATAGGACAATTTTTAATACAAATTTATTATTATATAAAACTTTGGGATCTTGGGCAATTTTGGTATTTTCCTACTTTTTTAAATATATTTCTTTATACCTAGCACAAGTTGGATAATCATAGTATCCCCATTTGGCCCTTGGTCGTAAATCTTTAGCCTTTTTAAGTGTCTTTATCATGAATAATTTTACAGCATTTTCATATTCTGATTTAGTTCCTTCGACTATAAGGCTGTTATTTGTTATAGATGGATTACGACTTTTGAAATAAGCTATGGATGCGTCCTTTAAAACAATAAAATAAATGTCGTTTTAAACAACTCTAAAGGGGGGGGGGATTTGAGCAGAATGTTGAAGCCAACAAAATCTTTAAAACAAGACTAATAATTAATTAGTTAATAAATTATTGTAAAACATAATAAATTATTATTTTTTAATCATGGGGTATTAAATTTAGACTAGATTAAACTAACTCCGCCTCGTCTTCGCAGGCAATTTTGCACGTAATAAAATACATGAATATTTGCTGAGACACTCACGTCTGTTTATATTATTTACAAAAATTTGCGAAAATAAAATTCGCGAATATGAACATTTTAATTTGCTAGCTAAGATAAAACAAAATCTATGATTCGTGAATAAAATTTGGAGAATCAAATCAGATCTATGTAATATGGTTTAGACTGATACCTATTTATAGTTAGAGCTTCAAAAATAAATATTTATTGGCTCTTTCGACATATTAGTTTTTCTGATATAATAAAATCATTTTAACAACTTTTTAACCTTTAAATTTCATATAATTTATTTCTCTAACAATTCACTCAGTTAATTCTTCGTAATAAAGCAGATCACTAAAACAAAATAGTTTATCAAACGACTATTATCGCTGACCTTATTGTTATGTTAAGAAAATTTTGTGACCCCATATTTGAAATTGTAAAGTATTATAAAATTATACCCTATATTTTAGATACATACCAAAGTCCATTAAACTCCACCAGGGCAAGTATTGTTCAAAATCTATCACAGCTAAACCCTATATTTAAAAAGAGGTTGACTAATACGTTAATGAATAGAAATATATTCAACTAGTGAATAACACGGTCCGATCTTTGTCTTTTTCATAATATATTGCAAAATAAAAATGAACTAAAAAAAAGAATCACAAAAACTAAAGTAATGTAAAATTGAATAAAATATACACAGGATTATAAATTGAATGGTATTTTAAATATTAATAAAAGACCAGTGGGAACTATGGTCCTCGAAAAAGACCTGCCCACCTATAGGTGGTTCGGTTAAGGGGTAAACTCGATAGGACCGGACCGTTGACATTCACAAGATTTAACCTAATTAGAAAAACTCGTCATAGTTTAATATTCCAGTGTTGACTATAATCTATCATTAAAACGAATTATGAATGAAATATTAAATAACTAATCAAGAATTTTATCTGATAAATAAAGACAAAAATAACTTCGAAATTTTTATTCGGCATATATTTTTCTATGTCAAGCTCCATTTGTTTGAGATGCATGGAAACATTACCTCTCTGAGGGATTCCACCGTTAATTTCATTTTTTTTATTTGTGGTTTTATCTTCGATTATAAGTGGCCAGGAACCTATTTGAGTATGGTAAAAGAGGTTTATCAATTCGCCCCTCCACTTTTGTTCTAAATTTGCTCGTATCTCGTAAAGCTCTAATTGTAGGTCATTTTTATATCTATTGCATATATGTATATGTATACAAACAAAACGCCAATCAAAAGTTTAATTAAGTTTAATTAATAAAATATAAAGTTAAAATTTTTACTTAATTTTGCAAACTTCCGTTGGCGAATTCCAAATAATTTCAAAAGCAGTTTCGGATAAATTGCAAGAAAAAAAATTCAATACAATCAGAATTATAACTGTTGGTGAATACATTTTATCCTTCTTTCCGTAATTCGTTATAAAAAAATGTTAATTTTAAAATAATATTTGATTATATATTTGGCGATGTTTATTTTAAAATTTGCATTTTATAAATTTATAAATTTAATAGATTAAAGATTTTAAAATAAATGAAACCTTCAATTTAAATTTTTAAATTTTTAAAATATAACACCCCCCTAAAAGATGTTTATAAAATAATCAATAGGTTATCCAAATAAATCGCTATTTATCATAATTATAATATATTTTTACATTTAAATTTAAAGCACCTATATATTATTTGCTTACATGAGAAGACCTTTCTATTGCCCTATAAAATTAAAAGTAAGATGTAGAAAAAAAAACACTTTCAAATATTTTTTTTAATGAGTAAGGCGTTTTTTTTAATATTATTGATGATTAATTTTTATTTATTTATCTCAATTATTGTAATAAGATTCGACTGAATTCTTATTAGGTTTTATTTCCATTTACAAATTGCAAGGATAAAAATCTTAATTTTTTTAAATTTCATGTTCAATAGCCCCCTCCCCTCACTCATAGTTTTTGAGTATTCAATATCCAACTCTCAGTACAATATTTACTTTATCTAGGAAATATATCCTTATTAATTTAGAATATAGTCAAAATGAGACTTAAAATCCTCTATATCTATTTTTTTTATAGATAACAGCTATGTTACTCACTTTTCTTAATTTTTTTTTAAAATTAATCTCTTCTATGATATATACAGGGCCGTAGCCATGGGGGAGCCACAGGGGGGGCAGGCCTCCCAAAAAATTTTTTGGCCCCCAAACCTGGCCCCCAGAAAAAACCTTCGGCCCCCAAAAATGGCCCCCATAAATTTTTCCGGCCCCCAAAATTTAAAAAAAATTTTGTAATTGATTATTTTTATATTTTTAAAATAAATTTTAAATATTTATTCAAAAAACATGTCTTGTTTGTAATTTTCTTCCTATCCTGTTTTATTTTTATCCAATAATAATCATCATTCATTCATATTTTATAATTTTCTGTGTGTTTGTGTATAACATTATATAGGCGTTTAATTATAACGTTTAAATTGTACTTATTTCAATGATTATTATTTTATTTATTATGGTTCAATCACAATATTATTATCTTTTGAAGGTCTCTGATATAGATCTGGGTGCAAATCATGAAAAACGGGATTTTCTGAAGCTAATCAAGTGGTTACTCAAGGCTTGATATATATATATATCAAATAAAGGAAACAGATTGATACCGATCCTTAAATATTTATTAAAATAAAAAAGGTTCTTATTAAATTTTTATAAAATTTGGTAATTATTTTGCAGTATTGCTAAACAGCTCGATTTGGGCCGATTTTTAAAAATGGTCCGATTAAGATCTTAGACAAAATAATATTATCTAAGCCTGATATAACCAGTTATTTAAAACAGGGGTGAATATTTTAGCATTATAAAGAAAATACAGAGATAACAACAATTTTGATAAGCCAACAAATTAACCGTAATCTTTAGGATCAAATCAAGATTTCATGATATTTCTTAACATAAGAAGCTACCTTTCCTGAAACTGGTTCAACAAAAATTACGGATGCTGCAAATGTAGAAAACATAATTTATTCTTTCTAGACTATTTATAGCATTGTTTTCATACACCATCCAAAAAGATCCTGAATTTAATAAAATTACGAAATTTATATACAAAAATACGCGATATACATCACCCGATTTAAAACGAAGTAATATCTATCATGGTAGATATGATGCTTGATTATATTTCAGATTAATATAATAAAAGTGAGATGCCTTTTATTTTGTTTTAAGGCTGATGTGACAAAAGATTATATTTTTTCTGGAGAAGTCCTAGAAAATTTAATAGGGATTATTACAGTGTCTTTCTGCTGAAAGCATTACTAATTGCATTTTAAAGCAACAATGAGTTAAATATTAATTCAACGAATATGATAAACCAGGCATATGATGGTGCAAACGTTATATCTGGCGAAATGGAAGAGTGCAATGCAAACCCTACTTAAAAAAAAATTAATAAGAAAGTTCCTTTTATACATTGCTACAACCACATGTTGCATCTTGTGTATATAATATTGTTAACATTTCTAATTTTTTAAATTTATTCAATGCATTGCATAATTTTTTAGGCGGTTTAACGTATCCTGTAAATATGCAATCCATACTTAAGAGACTTTTAGACAAGAGGTGGACTGGTCATTTAAAAACATCTCACATCATTTATGTTAATTTTGAGGCTATTGGTGAGTATTAGTTTACTTTTCTAATAGAACTTTGAATTCAGAGGTTAGCATTCATGATTCTGTCAAAGCCTCTGGTCTTTTATTTCAATACGTTAATATAAATTACATTATATTAGCCAGTATAATTTATGAGATATTAATAACAATAGATCCATTATGTATCTACAGTCAGTAGGTATTTATCAAGTGGATGTAAAAATTGTATTGATTCCACTATCAATATATTTAAAAAATATAAGAAGCAATAATTCTATTGATTTGTTTAAGAATAAAGGCTTAAAAACTTTTAACAAAATTTAATCTCACTCCCCACACATCAAGCATACGTAAAACGCCTATAAATTTCCAAGATTTTTTAGTCGAAACCAAATTACAATTTTTTTGCGAAAAAGACTCCAATGAGTTCTTTAAAATAGAATTAGTATGAAATTATTGATTACTTTGTTGATAACTTTTTAGATAGATTTACACAGGATGATTATAATCATCTATCAAGTTTTAATGCATGGTCTCCCTTTGATAGTGATTATTTTATATCGTACAAAATGGCTCGATTAGAATAATTATTAAACTTAAATATGGAAACTTTACATCATGAAATGAAAATTGGCTAATAGATTATTAGCTGCAGAAGTTAAGGAAACACATAATTTTGAAAATACCCTAAATATTATATATACAAAAATATCATCATGCATTTAAAGAATTGTATATGCTACTCAGCATTGGGGTAACCACGGCATTTTGTGTGGCTTCTTCTAAATTTATAAATTTAATAGATTAAAGATGATAAAATAAAAGAAATCTTCAATTTTAATTTTATATTTTAAAAAAATAACACCCGCCTCCCCTTTCCTTCTCTAAAAAATGTTTATAAAAAAATGGTATATATATATAATATTTAATATATTAGTTATCCAAATACGCTATTTATCATATGTATAAAGTAATTTATTTATTTAAATTGCCTATATTATTTGCTTAATTGAGAAGACCTTTCTATTAGAGGTTGGCGCGGTTCTTATTCACCACCCGCCCACTCAGTCAATAAAAAATTCACTCCCTCGACCCACCTACTCACGAAAGACAATATTTTGATCATACCCGATAATTCACGGTGTTTTTAAATTTTTCAAAACTTTATTGTTATAGTTTTTACGCCTCTCCGAATTTATTCTATTATAGTTTGTATTTCTCTAATTCCATATCAATAACACAAAATAAATCCAATTTATGAATATAATTTTTTTTTTAAAAAATGAAGATTGTCCATATTTTATTTCAATTTTGTTGGCCTTTCTAATAAGCGATTGGCCATAGAAAATAACCTTTCACTAGAAGCCGAATTTGCCAGGGCTAACAAAATTTTATTAACTAATTTTCCTAAAAAAGTAAATTAATTTTCCCTTTTCCAAACTTCTAATTATTGTCACATTGTTATTTGTTTAATGAGCTATGAAAATTTTAAGTTCATTCTCACAGCTTTCATTGAATGTTGATGCTTCATCAAAATCATCTAGAAATTCTCTAAATGTTTCATTTCGAATATACGATTTTTTATTTGTGTTGTTAGAAAAGTTATAAATAATAGTTGGCTACCATTTTTAAGGTTGGTTTTATATATCTTTCTTCTCTTCTATTAAAAACTCAAGACTTTTGTGGATCTAGAATTAAGTCTACCTTATTTAGTGCCTGCATAATAAATCTTTCCGTTAAAAGCAATGTTGTCCTGTTTTTTAAGGTTTTAATTATTATTGTATTACCTTCAGAAGGTTGATATAATTTTACTAATTTTTGTTTCCATAGATAAACTTCATTTATTGTGGGATGAGAATCTGCTTTCAGATTTCCGAGAATCCTTGAATATTGTTAAAAATTTTAGCAAAGATAAACAAAAATAAAACATATTTAAGTAAAATATATTTATTAACAAATTTCCATTGCTAAACGAGGATTGAGAGATTTTTTTCATTAATTGAAATTTTATAAAGCAGGGGAAAAAAATGTTGTATAAAGGCGGAAGTTTTTTGTTTTCAAAACTTATTCTCTTTTTTTCAAAATATCTAAATTAAATTAGAAAATATAATTATAAAATTGCAAATTTATATTCATAGAAAAAATATTTAAATCTCCGTGATTCACGGGAAATTTATGTTCACGCGCAGCAAAAATCTTGGGAAGGTCGTCACGCCTAGCCAGGCCTAATAATTCAAATTTTATTCACGCACAAAATGTTAATTATTCGTCTTCTTTTTTTTTTAAAAAATGAATATAAATTTATTTATTTTATAAGGAGAAAAAATACTTTGATTTAAAAAAATACTTTGATATAAAAAAATACTTTGATATAAAAAAAAAATTATAGAATAAATGAAAAATACATATACACTTAAATCTTATTAGTACGACAAGCACAAAGAATAATAAATGCTCCAAGTTTTATACTCATTTTAGCGTTGCTAGTCTGCAAACCACTCACCTAAATAAGTCATAATTTTGGCAAATAGTCTGGATTTAAAAAAAAATATAATAAATTCGTTAAAATTATTTCAGTTTATCACCTTTTGCAGAAAAATACTTGAGAAATGAAATAGGAAATAAAGGTAAAAGATTCCCAATTCCTTCACAGGAACATATTATTATATTATATAAGAATAGGTTCAAATGTTTCTGAATAATTTTCAAAATAAATATGTTTATTTATATTTACAAACGGATATTATAAAATAATTATATACCAATAATTTGATCGAATAATGGATATTAAATTATACAAATAGTGTATTTATTTACCTTATTCCTATTCCATCCAAATTTTTGAATTGAATAATTTATATTTGTATAATACGAATCAAATCGGAGAACGAATAATATTTTAAAAAACTGATGCCATGGTAGAGCATTTTAAATTTTTTAATAAATAAGATTAATTAATAATTCAATGCATTTTTATATTATTTGGACACCCTTTCGTTTCATCATTGTTGTTTGATCCACCCCCCTCCCTTCCCCCCCCCCCCAACCCATAGCAAATTTTTATGTACGTTCCTGGCTGAGCACAATAATAAAGTAAAAATACAGGCCTTTTTTATTCCATTCGAATTCAAATTACATATGGAGGGTCTATTGGGTTCCATAACAACTCATAGCCGTTATTATTAACAAACAGTTAAGTATATATTTTCCTTTTTATTCCGACCTCTTTGTTTTATTATATAAAATGGGTAATCATAATATTAAGGGAAAATTTTCCGACTAAATCGATAAACTGAACCAATAGATTAATTTAAATCATCATTAATTATTTTTTTTTTCTCAGCCATATTTTATCCAATTCAATTTTTTTTCGTTCTAGTTACCATTTTTTTCCTCAAAAAAATAATAGTATCAAAATTTGGTGGGTCTAATTTAAATTTCTCGTGAATATTTAGTTTTAACATTGGTTTCTAATAGCTAGACATCTAAAAGAATTTGATGGGATAGGTGAGTAACTTTGGTATGTATAGAGAATATGATGTAAAATTAATTATTGTACAAAACTTGAATGATGATAGATTCAAAATACTAAGCGAAAGTGAAATTTGACATTTAAAAAAAATAGAAATATTTAAGAAGTTGCAATGTTAAAAGTTATTAAAATTTTCGCAAGTTTACAAAAGAATTTTTGGAAGTTTTAAGTTGCAAAAAAATTACCGGAAATTTTTTATAGTTTTTCTCTTTTCAAATTTTTAAAAGTTTTTTATAAAAGGATGTTTTTCTCAACAAATTACGGAAAATAAAATAACTGTATATAATTTTTATTGTCATTTATTACAATATATCCTTGATGAGGAGACTACACCTGTCCATTTATTTTCTGTGGCGTTAATCCCCCAGATTCGCTTAACACTAGCCTAATTTTATGAGATTTCATAATTTGTTATATACCTTATATAGACTGAACAATAGAGGAGTTTTTAAGATATCAGGGATTGATAATAGTGCATTTTTACAGGGATTAATAACCAATGATGTTAATTTGCTTTCTAATAATTCCAAAGGAGTTTTACCAGCCTTTGTATTAAATTCCCAGGTTTATATTAATTTACATTAGTTGATAACCTTTATTTTAGGGTAGAGTTTTATATGATATCTTAATTTACAGCATTCCTAAAGAAAATCAATTGGAATTTTATATTGAATGTGATTTAAGCCAATTAGTTAATTTAAAGTCATATATTCTTAAGTTTAAGATGAGGAAAAAGGTATTTAATATATGTTATGTACAATTTATATTAACATATTTTTTTTATATTAAAAGAAAGATAGATATATTAGATGAAACCTTAAATGTGTTGGGGTATATCCCTAAAATATGTCAAGAGTCTAACATTCAAAAATTAAAGATTGATTATTTAAACTATGCCACCTCAGTTGTAAAAAAATGTGACTCTATTAGTGATATAATTACAACACAATTTGACCCAAGATCATTAAAATTGGGCTTGAGAATGATTATTAAAGCAGAATTAGATAGTAATTATAATAAATACTCTGAAATATATAGATGCAAGGTTCTTGCATTTGGGCCCACACTAATTATCAAATTTTTAAGAATAGCTTATTTTTTGATATCACTAATTCCTATCTTATAATCATTGCTTCCTATATAATATTAAAAAAACAATATTTTTAAATAAACTAAATTTAAAAAATTAATTTATGAGAAGGTGAAAAAATATATAATAGGTTAGATGGGCTACATTTTACCCTAAAATGATATTTCATAAATTTATCCCTAACATTTTGTACATGTATTATTCTTAAAACATAAAAATTAATTTTAATAATTATTAAATCTACCATTGATAAGATTTTTTTGTAATTTATCAAATTTTATGATGTTACAATAAATAACATTATCAATTAATTTATGGGATTTTTGAACTATGCATAAAAACACTTCAAATATCAAATAAGATATTATAAATATAAAAATAAGATGTATTAAAAATGAAAGCATCATTTTACAAATATTTAGGAGTTTGTTAAAAAATCTACAACCCATTTAGAATATTGCATTAAAATATCAAGACTTTATAAAGTTTTATTAATAAAAATATATCTTAATATTAGTATAAATAACTTCTTTTTTAAAAAAACATTGTACAGTAGCAAAACTTTTGAACAACATATCAAAGCCCTTTGATAAAGATTTTGAAATGTTACCCATTTCACAATACACAAGTTATAGATATAGGCTAGGCATAGGAGAGGGTTCCATAGACCACCCTGTAGGACAATGTCTTCCATTAGAATCTAATGCTGATTATTTAAATTCAGGTAAATTATTATTTTTTGATATACTTTATATTCATAATATATAAAAGATTTTAGTCTTATTTGTGATAACTCTTGAGTAATTAGGTTGATTTATAACTTACCCCCATTTTAAAATGGATCTTATTCACAATTTTATATTAAGCTTTAATATTTTAAATACTTTTCAAGTTCTTTAAATTCATGTAATATTTTTATTATATATTAAGTAAAAATTCATATGAATTCTTGTTAAGGCTACAACCCTGATAATAAATATTGGATTAGATCTTACCTGATATTAATTAGTCATATAGTTAAAATTGATTTTATTTTTTTGTATAAAATACAATACAATTCATGATTTAATAATGATAATAATTAAAAAATATATTTGAGGAAAATATCTTCTGAGACAAAGTTAACTTGATTATTTTGAAGTTAATATTTTTATATAGAATGGAATTAATATTTCAAAATTGAATCTGATTAATATTATCGATATTTATAAAACAGGATAGATAGTAATGGAAAATTTTTTTTGTATATAGCAAATTTTTGTTTAAAAAAAATACATCAAGTCAGTTTTACAAAAGGCTGCTACATAGGTCAAGAATTAACTTCCAGAACTTATCACACTGGAGTCATTAGGAAAAGATTAATGCCGATTGTTTTAGAGGATAACAGGTTTGAATTATAAAATTTGCATTTTTAAATAAAAAAAAGTAGGGTCATGCTGATCCACATATTTTTCTCCAATCCAATATTTTTGATATTAATTCAAAACCGATCCAATACTAATCTGATTTATATATTGATTTTTTTTGCCATAAAAAAAATTCATTTTTACCATGCAAAAAATCGAATTTAATATTTTTATTTCTACAAAAGTCTAAAATTTTAAAAAAAATTTAGATATCAAAAATTATATTTAATAATATATTTGAACGTTGGACGGTCGGGCAGGGGCTTATTTCAATTTTTTTAAACATACTCGGGGGGGGGGGGGGGTTGTGCCTAATTTGTTTTTAAAAAAAGTAACCGAGCTTTTAAGGGCCGAAAATTTTTTAAAAAATAAAACTAAATATTTTAAATCGCCATTATTAGCTATGAAAATTTAAAAGTAATATATTTTATATTCGGACTGGGCCATGCAAATGGTACCTCCCCAGATCTCGGATATATATGCTGGTATGAATATCAAAATAAAAATAGTTACATTTAATATATAAAATTATAATATTTTGGATTTTTTTTTAAGAAAAATAAAAATGACAGCCTCTTAATTTTCTGTCTATAAAATCCTAAGATGTGGACAATCCACCCTTAAAATTCTCTTTTATTCTTTTGTAAAAAAAATTTCCATAACTCAGATGCCTTCTTATAATTATAAAATGATTAGATCTTTTTGTTAAAGTATAAATAATAAAAAAGGTTTTAGTTATTACTTATGGGAAAACAAAATTTACACGCCCATTTTTATATAAACAAATAAAAAAAAATTTTCAAATAAATATTAGCTCGGTATTTTTAAATGTATCGGACCGATGCGATATTTTTTACGACGCAATATCTGTCCCGATCCGATATAATATCGGCACAGCCCTAAAATAATAGTTATGATACTAATATTAGTGATCTGCACCGGGCCTAATTTTTCAAAACCGGCCCGGCCCGAAATTTTTTTTAAAAAAGTTTTGCCGGCCCGGCCTGAACCCGAAACTTTTTAAAAAGTTTTGCCGGCCCGGCCTGAACACGAAACTTTTTAAAAAGTTTTGCCGGCCCGGCCCGAACCCAAAATTTATTTTAAAAAAATTTACCAACCCGGCCCGAATTTATTTAAATATAGAAATTAATTTTTATAATTACTTAAAATAAAAGACATATGTTATATAGCGTTTAGTTTCAATAAATTAAATCAAAAATTTTTATTTTACATAAAAAATTCAATATAAAATTGAAAATTTAGATATATTTAATAAAATTTCCAAAATCCGACCCGACCTGCCGAAATTTTTTAAAAATATTCGGCCCGGCCCAAACTCGATTATTTTTAATAGAGGCCGGGCCTAACTTTGCAGACCTCTAACTAATATGTTTGGCTATTTATTCTTTATAGTTTTTTCCAATAACCTTTAGATATTTTTTTGTATTTTTATACTCAATTATTATATTCTCGATAACTCTATTAGTTAGTTTTATTCCGGTATATTAAGCCTGATACTTTTACAGAAAATTCATATTCCATTTTTTGTTCATGCACAATAAAACTATGATTTATTGAAATTTTCCAATATTAAAAAAATTAGCAAAATAAATGAAAATCTAAAAATTTGTTCTAAGATCTTTTCGTTTTTTCTTTTTTACTATTGCCACTTCATATATCCTCATTAATATGACAATTGAGGAAATAATAATTTTTTTCACAAATTTAGATTTAAAAAAAAACATATACATTTTTGATAAATAGACAGAGAAATTTTTAAAAAAATCGCCATCTATTATAACAATTATTTTTTAAACTATTCTTAAGCCCAGAATTCAGTCCAAATGATGAAAATACTCAGTCCACTGTAGCAGTTATTTAATTGTTTTACTATTTTTATCGAACTAAATTTACCGTTTCATTCTTTTTTTTTAAAAAAATACCATTATTTCATCTAAATTTTATTAAACGTATCAGGTCTAGATAAAATTTTTATCAAGGGAGATAAGAAATTGGTAGTAAGGGATAAAATTAATAACTTTCCAATGCCACTTCGATCGTATTGACTGTTAAATGTGAACTCATATTTCTGGTTTAGAAGACCGGATAAGAAATGGGTCGGTGGAAGTATTCTATTAATGTTAAATATATATTATCAAATTTTAATCTGACAATCGTCTTTTTATTTGATAAAATATCATATTAGTGGCTTATCAATATATATTCTTTCAACAATTTCCAAGGTCTCCCGAAGCATTAAACTTTTATTTGCATGATAATATTATACTTTATGTGTAAAAAATTATGATATGTGATATTTTTCAATCGAAATCAGTTATAATACCTATTTAATCAAAAAAAATGATTTATAAATCATGAATTTTGTTAACACTAAATGCCTACTAACGGATTTTTTAAATAAGTCAAAAACGACTAAAATATTTGATACCCTTTTTATTAGTCAATTATGGGAGAACAAAAGCCAGTATCTTATTATACATCATGAGAAATGGGTAATCTTCTACACTTTCAGAATCGTGTTTTCTGAATTTTTTTTAGGCAAAAGTTAAACATAAATAATATATAAACCCATCTGTATTTTTTTGTTAGAGTGTCCTTAGCTGTTTAAGATTTAGTGTCTCCTTTATACATATACGAATTAAGACACGACAATTATATCTATTTTATTTACGATAAACGATTAAGTAACCCAGTCATCCTTGGCAATTACAGTATTATTTCAATTCCTTTTTTTTTATAAATTACAACTCCTCTCTGTTGTCGTTAGTTTTACCGATATAGTTTTTCCATATGGACCTCGTAGCAATTTTTATTATTTAAACCTATATTTTTAAAGAAAGCACATTTTTATCATCTTTTTAAAAATAAATCAGCTTATCAGATATCAATCAACCAACAATACCACAGGGTATCGATATGTACAACCAAAATGGTAAAAAATGTGGTGTCTTCAGAAATCGAATCGGAAAATATGGGTTGGGTTTGTTGAAGATACAAGAAAGGTGAATTTTAATAAATTATAACCTACCTAAAATAATAATGTAAATGTTGGTATAAAATTGCTCTTGAAATCGACCCCCCTCTCCCTTAAAACAGATTTTTTTTTAATGGTTAGATTAAATACTAAGTTTTAATTATTCATTTATTATTTCGGCTAATTTTATTTTATTACTATATGAATAAATTTTAGCTTAGATAAAAAGTTGCACATTAAATTTGATAACCGCGAAATCACGATGACTACGCACAAGCCAGAATGGTGGCCAGCGAACGATATTTAATATTTTATTAAATTCATAATTTATTTATATGTTATATTAATCGAACTATTCTATATTTATATTTTGGATAAAAATTATCATAATATGTGTATATATATATACATTGTTATTAGGTTTCGATTTAGATGTTGAAAATTAAAAATTAATTTTTTAAAATGCCATTTTTTATTAAAAAGATAATTTTTAAAATTACATTATAATAAAATTTTTATGAGTGGGTTGTAAGTAAATTATCGGTAGGATTAAGATTTATGAGCTATACGAATAAATGATCAATTCTAAATTTGAATAATAAACTATATTAAGTAAATAGTAAATACTATATTATATACTATATAAATTTAAAAATAAACTAAATTTTTTGCATAGTTTTTAAGTGATATATGATTGTATTATTTATAAATAATTTTATAATTTATAATCTGTGATTTTATAAACATTTTAATAAAATATATAACAAAAAAAATCAAATGACTTATTGAGAGATTTTCAATCATCGTGGGATAAAAGCCGGGAGGTAACAAGTGTTTTAGTTGTAGTAGTCAGAGTCTCGAGATCGTTGCCCAAGTGTTGATTTCTTTCGGCGCCGGAATCAGTATTTTTGGAATTATCATTAGATTTTCCAATATGTATTCCCGAATCTAAGTCATTATTTGAGTCTAAATTCTGAGCGTAATAGTCCGAGTATGAATTATTATCGACCAGGTTTGGGTTAGATGTGCTGTGGGAGCTATCTTTATCCTGTTGTCGGATGGATGAGTCAGATTTGGCTAGTGAGGTCGACATCAAAAATAAACAATATTATATAAGTAATTATGAAGCTTTGTATATAATAAAATTAAATAAATTTTAAGAAATAAATTCAAAGATGAAAAAGGAAGAAAGATAAAATATAAAAAATACATTTTTATTACCTTCTGTCATAGTGGTGTTTGTAGTAATTGATGATGAAAATGGGTGAAATATCCAAGATAAGGAAGGAAATTGTTGATACTCTTTATCTTTTGATTCTATGGATGATTTATCAACAATATCTAAATCTGATTGGTTAGATCTTGTTCTCTTAAGTTTTCTCTCACTAATATTTTCTTGTTTGCTCTCATCTTGATTCAAAGCCTTCATACTTTTCACTCTCTTTAATTTGTTTTTCGCCTTGGCCTTAACTTTAAAACTGTTTAGATTGCTGACTTCGAAAGAATGAGATCTTTTGAGAGCTCTATTTGGAGCGGCTACATTACGTGACTTTTTAGTTGTTGGTTCAGGTGTTTTGACTTTCCTTTTACTACTCGAAATATCACGCGTTTTAGAATAATAATCATGGGCAACATGCTTATTTCCACTTGAGGGGATATCAGCTTTTCTCTTCAAAGATTTTCTCCTTCTGACTTCGGGAAAACCCAATAATTGCCATAATCTTGACGAATAGTTGCTATCCACATCTGTGTCACCTTCCATTTTTATATCTGGGTTTTGGCCTTTGGAAGGGTCGCTATCAGTGTGGTCAGCGTGTGAGTATGAGGACAAAGGCCAGGGAAGGTGAAACCAGGAGGAATTTTCGGGCTTTAGGTTGTTTTCATTATCTTTGACACGTCCTAATTTAGAATTATTAACTGGATGTCTTCTTCTACCTCGAGTCGCTGTTTTACTTTCCATGGCGGCGTGTTTAATAGCAGATTTCAAGAGATTTTTAACGAATGGAGAATCCTTGGCCCCTTTATTACCTGAGTATTTTTTGATCCCTTTCCTTCTAGCAATGGGTTTCATTTGAATTCTTTTATTGTAATAAAATTTTTTGTTTAAGTTTTTACCTTGAGACTGGACTTTTTGAATCTGTCGATGTGCTGATAATATTCCCAGCTTTCTTGTATTAGGAATTGTTTTACGCTGTCCAATCTTCCTTTTCAAAGTAACATACTTAGATGGGATATGTTTGGAACTTTGGGATTTAACTCTTTTAACTTGTTGGTGTGCAGTTCTTGTATTAGGAGTAGCTTTGAACTGTCCAACATTCCTTTTCAAAGCAATATGCTTAGATGGGGTAAGTTTGTAATTGTCAGATTTAACCCTTTTAACTTGTCGATGATGAGCTGATAATATTCCCAGCTTCTTTGTAATAGGAGTCGCTTTACGTTGTCCAATCTTCCTTTTTGAAACAACATTCTTAGATGGGATATGTTTGGAATTTTGGGATTTAACTCTTTTAACTTGTAGATGTGTTGATGATTTTTTCAGCTTCCCTGCATTCGGAGTTGCTTTACGTTTACCAATCTTTCTTTTTAAAATAACTTGTCTAGTAGGGACATGTTCGGGGCCTTGAGATTTGAGCCTTTTACCATGTCGGTGAGCTGATAATATCTCCATCTTCCTTGTAATAGGAGTTACTTGACGTTTTCCGATCCTCCTTTTCATGGCAAAATCCGATGGGATGGGTTTTGAACTTTGGGATTTAACTCTTTTAACTTGTCGACGAGCGGATAATTTCTTTAGCTTCCCTACATTAAGAGTTGCTTTACTTTGACCAATACTTTTCAAAATAACATGTCTAGTCGGAATATGGGAACCATGAGATTTAACTCTTTTAACTGGTGGATGTGCTGATATTTTTTTCAGCCTCTTTGCATTAATAATTGCTTTACGTTGAACAATCTTCTCTTTCAAAACAACACGCTTAGTAGCGATGTGTGTAGTGTATGGGTGTTTATTATGCGCGGACTTTGGTTTTCTATGCACCACAATATCCCCAGAAGATTTTGGATTTTTATTCTTTATTTTGTTGCGAGGACTGATAAAACTTCCCAATATTTTCTTTTTCCTTGGAGACTTTTGATTCGATTGCACATTATTGGAATTCTCAAACCTGATTTTTTTAATCCCCGATTTTTTTGTCCCTAAAGATTTTGTTTTGATAGGAATACTTTTCTCTGGTGATTTATGGAATTCCCCGTAATAATCCTGAAGTTTATAAGGACTGAGCCTATAATTTTTGTTATGCGATATATCAGTCTTGTGGTTTTTTAATTGAGAAATATTTTTATTTATTTTGTGACTTGAACGATATATCAAAGGTTCCGGTTTTTTACCAGACAATAATTTGCTTCTATATGTTGTTCTTTTGATAGATGTATTTATAACTTTAATATTCTTCTGTAATTTTGAAGATTTTGTTTTTTTTAATGGTTTAGATGTGGAGATATTCGTGAAATTATGAGTTGAATGCTGAGCCTTCTTTTTAGCATTTTCTATATTAATCTTTCTCCTGGGAGGGATATTCTGTCCTTTTGTTTTATCGTTATTCGATAGCTTTTCTGGTACACGTTTCTTGGTACCCTGAAGGGTTTTATTCGCCTTCCTCTTTCTGGTGTGCTTGAATTCACCAATTCTGTGAGATTTTTCTGAATTTTTTAATTTGCGAATTTTTTTATTGTAATTCACAATTGGAGCAACCATACCAAAACTTTCGATTTGCTTATCAACTGGTTTCAATTTTGAAGGACTAGATAGCCTTGATTTTTTATTTTTTAATTTTTTGGAGCGAGTTGTTAACAATTTTTTTGAACCAGCTAAATGTTTGTTCTTATGGCGAATACCCAAGTGTCGAGGTGGCTTCTTAATAGGCAATCTTGATATTTTGCTGGACCTTCCAGGTTGGTGAGAATGTCTTAAACGGCGAATTTTATAGGCCGTCCCCGGATTAGGTAATTGTTCATCTCGACCTTCACTCATAATATTGGGTAATCTAGATTTTTTTAAATTTGCTTTTTTGTGCGACTGATTAAGTGCCCTTTTGGATTTCCCCACTCTCTTGATCTTGTTATGAATATTCGAATTTTTACTTTTTAACCTTGAAGATCTTATGACATTTATAATGGGCGGTTTGGCCTTTTGCTTTAATTTCTTAACATGGGGTTTGTTAGGCCCTTTATTAGCATATGAGCCAATTTCGGGTGGAGTTGCAGAAATTAAAGTTTTAAATGATGTTAGTTCTTTCTGATTATTTATTGGAGGTGATGCTTTCTTGAGGACTCTTTGTTTTATATAAGAACCCACATTTTTGACTGCCTTTTTACTTTTAGATTTGAGTATTTTTCCAAATTTTGAGCCATGAGTACTTTTGTAATGGGATGGCCTATCTTTAAAATGATATTTCTTTGAGTATGGTTGAATTTTATCAGCATCTAATATTTTCTTTTCACTAATGTGCACTTTTTTAATGCTTCTTCGAGAATTTATCCTCCGTGCCTTTTTATGTTGGGGATCATTTACATTTTCAATTGATGAATGTGCTTGAGTATTTTTTTTTACTGGATTATATTTTGTTTGTCTTTTATTTAAGGAACGTTTTGAATGCTTATTGACAAAGTCTGGAAGAATCAAATTGGCATGTGATGAATGAGCTTTTCTGGATTTAATTTGATGATCTCCCGCATAGTGTAAGGATCCAGATCTTATCGATGATTTAGGTTCAGTTTTACTTGATTTGGGTCTATGAGTTCTGCCACCTTTATAAGATTTATGACGTTTACCAAAAATAGTGTTTATAACACCTTTTTTTCTAAGTAAAATATTGTTTTTAGTAGCAGCTTCGACCGGATGATTACTCTCTGCTAATGATGTGTCTTTAATATCATACAGAACATTCGATTTTTTTGGCAACTTAGTCTTATGTAAGATCTTGGAAGATGCTTTAACGGCGATAGCTTTGGTTGAGCTTCTAGATTTCAAAGCCCTTTTGGTAGTTTTAAAAGGTGACGTTTTTTGTGAGCTCGATTTAGACTTAAAAATAGCCTTGGAAGGTGACTTAGAGGCTGATTTAGAACTTGACAAGGTTGAACTCGAGCTTGACCTAGAATGAGATCTTCGTGCTGAGGAACTAGATGAAGAGGTAGAAGATCTATGCGAGTTATGAGAGAAATCTGTAACTATTTGTTTAGATTTGAAAGGTGATCTCGATGGTAATCTAGTTTTACCAGAAAATTTTGATCTAGGCGATATGAGAGATCTTTTAATAACGCGGGTGTCCTTATTAATCTTTCTTATTGTTCTCTTGTTTGAGTTCTTTAGGTTTTTTAAAAATAATTTCCCTTTTTTATTTCTTTTACTTACATCAAGATTATTATCAGAACGCATCCATGATTGAATATTATCACTGTTCTTGTAGAAACCTCCTTGGTTATAAGGTTTTATTACCTCCTTACCGACCGATGAACTAATCCTTCCGCGGGGATTTTGATTATTTAAGCGTTGTTGCGCTATGTTAGACATAAATTTGAGGGGTAAAATATGAGATGCTGAACGACTCACGGTTGTCATAATATTCGTGTTTCGACTCCTAGTACTTCTAACCAATATTATTTGCTTAGAGGGGGTTTTAAATGATGCTAGCTTATTTGAAGACTGCTTTTTTAAAGAAATTGAGAGTGGAGAGTAACCATAATCATTGCTATAATTTTCCAACATCGAATATCCATCAGATCTAGGCAACAGCGTTTTGTTTGGTAGAACCGATCCAAGTTTGCCTGTAGTTATTATTATCTTATTATATTGTTTGGGGTTTTGCTTAAGGGTTGAACTTTTTAAAGACCTGACGACAATTGGCGATTTCGATCTCAACCCTTTGAGGCGGCTAGGACGTGTTGATAATACCATATCATAAAATGAATGTTATCTATAATTTTTTTAAATTATAAATTTAAATTTATGACCGTGTTATTTTCATCGTATAATTATAATACAATATTTGGCAGAGTACTATAAAAAATTATATCATTACAAAAAAAGAACAGTTTAAGGTAAAATTATTTTTGACAAATATATAAATTTTTTAAATTAAAATGAGCTTATAAATTATCTAGTATAAAATATAATTATTTGTATGTTAAGGTAGGCGAGGTGAGGCGAAGCAAATTTAAGCTGAATATAATATTTATTTAAAAAATAAAAAAAACGAGATAAACATAGCTTAACCAAAATAAGAGAACATGTAGACTAGATTAAATCTTGTAAATATTTAATATATTTTTGAACCTTTTTTAGTATTTATATTAGGAATTTGTTTTTATCTCATTCAAAATAAAGTTTTAAATAAAATGTGTAAAACTCTTACCTTCTTTCCAGGTATATCAGAATAATTTAATTTTTTTTTATACAAAGATTATAAACAAATTATAAGTTTCAAGCCAATAAATTTGTTCGCTCATAAAATACAAATAAAAATGAGCGCTTGCGCGTATTTTTCTATTTTTAAATATAAAAAAATGATTCAAGGTTTTTAAAAAATATATTATTATTATATTATTTTATTTTTTATGTTATATATTGATTTTGATTTATAAATAATAAAATCGGGTTATGGCTTATAGCCAAATCGTTAATATTATTCCTGTTTTCGTACGATCGATTTTTCACTGTATTTGCAAGATTTAGGCCACTAATAATTTTTTTAATGCATTTGTGTATTTTATATTTAATAAGCGATTTTTTTTTGCATACCTGCTTTATATAATATAATTAAACAATTCGATATCAGAAGTTCGTAATTTTTACAATTTTGTGCCTTGTAATTAGGTCTTCGAAAAACGAATACGAATTTCGTAATCGATTCGGTTAACGAATCAATTGTACGAATAACATTTTTTATTATTTGATATCGATTCGAATAATTCTTTCTTTATAAATATAAAATAATTCATATGAACCACATCTGATTAAATGGAAGAAATTAGTATAATAAAGAACGTATAATTTAAGTAAATTAAAGTGGATAATTAATTTATTTTATAATGCTGCCAAGCCAAATTTTAAGGCAAATAATTTTTTAAAATTGTTTCTTCTTTAAGATTTGTTATTTTTTGAGACAGCAAATTAGTTCCAACTAGGAAAAGCCTTTCAAAACCAATTGATATATATGCATTACTTGTTAAATTTATGTAATATCAACAACGTAAATGACAAATGATTAAACTTTATTAAAAAACATGTTTATAATTATTCTGAATAAACAATTTGTCGAATTATTCCAACAAAACGAACAATTTACTATTCGATTCGTTTTTGAAAGGCCTATTTATAATAAAATTGATAATTTTTAGGACTAATATTTGATTATCTGTTCGGGTTGGGTGCGGAATATGGGATTAACTTTATGTTCGGGTTAAGTCAAAAATATATTTTTTAGGTCGGGATAATGCTTTACTTTTTAGAGGTCGGATTAGGGCAAAAATGTTGGGGGTTTTTAGGTCTCAAATGTATTTTAATAACAACTATATGATAGTCAGTGTTGTTTTTTTTTAAATAGCGGGGCTGAGCTATTAATCCAAAAAAAAATGAATAGCCAAATAAAGAGACAGAAAAAATGTCTTATTTTGTAATTATATATTTTTTGATTATTAAAATAAGAGTAATGGTTAGATTTGTATTATGTCATGAAATTTTTAATATGTTTTTCAAAAATTTTAAGTTGTATTTATTTTTGTTCTTATCAAATTATTATTAAAGAACCTCGATATAACTCAAGGGAACATATAATTATTCAGAAAAAATATAAACACGTCAAACGAAATATATAGACACACAAAATGTATGTAGATATTTAACTATCTAGAAAAATCGTTTAATATCAAAAATAATATAGTTTATTTGCATTTAATTAACCTTTTTTTCAGAAAAGATCGAAAGTGTGATTTTGTCCATTTTATAAATTGTTTATAGTTTTCCTCAGCTTGCTCAAAAGAAATCGCAAATCTTTTAAATTTCATGAATCGTCGATGGTGTATGACAATTTCTTTTTATTTTTTAAATTGGCAATATTTTTGGAAACTTCGAATTTCTTTGTCTTCTCTAAAATATCATCTCAGCTCAGTAATTTCTTCCATTTAACCAGTGCATGAAATAATTATTCGAAAGTATATAGATCAAAGACCTGCAGAGGTACCATTTGCACGGCTCGGCCTGGCCCGGATTTTTTTTTTCTAAAATTTTTTACGGCCCGGCCTGGCTTTTTTTAAAAAATAATTCAGGCCCAGCCCGGATTTTTTCAAAATATATTATATTTATTTTTAATTTTTATAGCTAATAATTACGATTTCAAATATTTGGTTTTAAAATATACGGCCCTGCTCGAATTTTTTTTTAAAAATTTTTTTAGCCCGGCCCGACCTTACAGGTCTATGATATAGATAAATATAAGATTTTGAATCGCGATAAAAAGAAATTATATTATAAAATAGTAAAATACAAAAATATTTCGAATCGAATCTTAAAAACAGGTATTTAGATTAGATATAAATAATTTTTGAATAACGATTCAAAATATGATAAAGGCGATCTTGATACATTTAATTTTATAATAAAATTTTCGTATTTTAAAAATTATACTTGTTATTTAATGCTTCCCAAGAACGTTATATATTGGACTATAGAGCATTTGAAAGACATTGGTGAACCTTTATTGAGCATTAAGTTAAATTAAATTTTAATTACAATCTTTGAAAAATTTTCTCCAATATTTTCCACATTCAATTTTCTTTTCCCAAAGTTGATGTGAGTCAGGTAGAAACGAATTAAATGAATATATGAAGAATTATAATTGCACGAGCATTGCAGGACTTCGAAAATTTATCAAGAAGAATATTTCACCTAATATTTAAATAAATCTCTAACTTCGCCAATAAATTATTCGATATAACTGGCGTCATTTCGTAACGCGATATTTTGCATAAAAAATTTTCAGCAATATACTTCCATTTTTAAAAAGAAAATATATTCAGATCTAAATATATTTTATCCATACATTTACAAAAGAAGTTTATCCCCAAATGTTTTTGATTAGCCTAAAATACATGCCTAATAATTATCACTATAAGGACTATAAAAGTGACATTAAGAAGGAGCCTAAATATATATAAAAAATTTGATTAAAAAATAATTACATAACAAATAAAAAAGAAAAAGAATTATCCAAGCTTTCATTAGGTCATTTTACACATGGGGTTAAGTTAACACCTATTTATCTGATGATAAGAATTAATGTTTTTTTAATTGAATTGATTTTACCTTTAAAATATTTCTCTATTTAAAATTAAATCTTCACATGAATAGATGAGTGAGATGGAGGTTTTTCCGGCCCTGTCCGAATTTATTTATTTAATTTTTTAGAACAAACTCAGTAGGATATTATATATAATGAACCAAATAGAATAATGATATATATTTTAAACCAGCCATACTTTTCCTATCATTATAAATAATTTTTGTTTTCGCTAAATATTAATGAATATAACCAATAATGAAAACTAGATAATGAATAATATCGTATATAATTTATAATTAGGTTTATCATTTACAGGAAATATGAGTAGATTTTTAAAAAAATATTTGAATTTGAATCCCATAGCTTATTACGCACATATGTAGGTATTTAAAAAATTCCTCATATATTTTTTAGAGACGTGTGATTTAGTTTATATTATAACTTGGAATATGAAACTTTGTACCTTGAATGTGCACGACGAATCACTATAATATGATGAGAACATTGTAATAGAGATTGGATATTATAATGTCTGTCTTTCAGGCTATTCACTATATAAAGTGATTTTATATGTATTTCATAATATATTTTACAGAATTTCATTTAAATATTTTAGGACGCATATATTATTTCATTTATATTTCACCTAATGAAATACAATTGTCTAAAATTTGCCTTAGAATTTAGGATCCAAGCAGTATTATGCTACTCTTAAATCATAGTTAGGGCTCTGGACTAAAAAAAAATTTACCAAATTTTTGAAAACAAAATTTATCACATTAACATACTTCATCTCTTATAATTGTTTACGTGGTAACGCAAATGACTGCCTTATTTCTTTTAGGCAGAGTTTGGAAAATTTCATCGAATCATAATTGTTTTTAGATCTATGTTTACCTATGTTTTTTTTAAAAAAAAATTTGCGTAATTTTTTTATTGGATTTATATAGTGGCTTGATGTTGATTATTCTAACAAAGTTAAATCGTGGTCTGATAAAAAAAATTAGTTGATTATGATGCATGACATGGCTCATAGTGTTGTTGAACGGTTAGCTTCTCCAAAACCGCCAACGCCTCTAGAAAAAATCGGAATTAATGATTATATATAAATTTTAGTATTTTTTTTATAGATTAATTTATTATACAAAATCTCAAAGTAGCGAAGTAGCACGCTATTGCTATTTTTTTATTTAAAAGTGGCGCGCTACTTTGAAAACTCTACGGCGATTCCCATTAGGTGAATTTTTTTAAAATATTTATAATCAAAAAAATTGTAGCCTAAGAGGAATAATTATCCATTGACAGAAATAACTATTGGGTTGAAATAAAAATTTGAAAGGCAGTAGTACTTTTTTATTTTTGATATTATTTATATATGGTTCATGTTAGAGAAGAACAGGGAGACCAAGGTGAGATCCCAAATAACAGACATATTTGTAAGACCATTGTAGGGCTATTTCGTGGTTTGCACATCGATTAATTGTCTGATCATGTCATTTAATGAACGTGAAGATCAAAATGGTGCTACAGACTACTCCTAGTATGTATTTTTAAATTTGCATGAATCGCCAATCTAATCAATCGTTTTGTCAGCCTTAAGACTAAAAAATGGCATCCTACTTTTGTTATAATTAGTTAAGATAGTCTGACACTTTCCGGATAATATAATATATGACTATTTTGAATATTGGATGAAGTTTATTGGACATTTTTGGCATTGTTTTTATTATTATATTTTATGGCAAGTTATGGAAAAATTACGATAAAATTTCATATGCCGTCATGCCTAAAATAGAGCCCGAGAAATAAAAAATGCTCATATTGTATATTGTGATTTCTTTAGATGGTTAATGAGTTATTAAAAATTTTATAAGTGTTATCTAAAAGTTAGAATCATAAACCATTTTGAAGGACCAAAAAAAATAGTAGGTCAGGTTTAAAATCTGAAATTTTTTAGAGGTGTAACTCTCCTTCCCTCCGCCCCCCCCCCTCCCTCCCTCCCTTATGTTGCTACGTAGCCATATAAAAGAGAAATGATAGTTAATTCATAATTAGTAATTACTTATTATTTATTTTCTACAAATTCAATTTAAAGTATACACCATTTGAATTGTGGACATTTAGCAATATTTTATTATATTTAGGAGCTTGAATCCATTTTCAAAGTTGTAAAAGTTCTAATGTTTTATAAATTTTTTCAAATAAGATCTAGAGATTTGTTTCAATATATAAATCTAAATTTTAAAACAAGATATAAATCATTTCGATTTTTAAATGACGTAATATATCAACAATTGAATATATATAGCGCACAAAGCTTTAATCGTTTACTAAGATTGGCACAGTTTTATAGAAGGATTTACAATGAACGATCTATTCATAGAGTTATTTCCACGTTTTCACGGCTGAGAAGAAATCAATACTATTTATTGATTAGTTTTTCTATGTTTAGTTGGGACAAGGATGGTATAACAGATGACGAATTTAATAAGTAATTAGTATATTTAATTTAAAAAACTTATATTTAAAATATTCAGGCATGTTTATATTTATTGAATTTAATTATATTATTATGTATCAATTATATATATAAATTTTCAGGTTATTTTAAACAATTATCTAGTGTTGTATAAATGAATGTCTATTTTTTAATTCATGCAAAATAATAAAATTAAATTCTTCCAATCAATACGTATTATAAAATATTATAAATAATCAAATATTTAACTAAATATTATTACGCACACTTTAAATTAAATTTTGGACATCAATAATTTTAAATTTGGATTATCTTACCCCTCACATTCACTACTTATTGACTATGATTGTTTTTAAAAGTTTGTATTTATTTTTACTTTACTAAATATAAATATAAGGATAATTTTTTTGTGATCCATCAAAATAAATTATATAGAACTAAATTGCCAATTCTATTAAAAATATAAAATGTATGAAATTGAGAGTAAAAATTATAAATGATTAAAAAAAATATATAAATTAGAGATGTGCAAAGCTTGGCTTAAAATTTTTGGACAAGTTGCCTGGTCTGGTCAGTTATAATTAAATTTTCTTGGCATGGCCTGAATATTACAAGAAGTCATGGGCCATTAAAATTTTACAAAATATTTAACCCAGCCCATTAAATTTATCACTTTTTAATAACTGTTTAATTCTTTCATCTATTTATTTCCAACAGCTATCAATCTTGTTTGATATTTGTTATATCTTTGTAATTGGATCATATCATAAATTATTTATTTAATTTTTTGTGAAAATAGATTTAGTGATTTTTTTAAAATTAGACAACTCTCAAAATACAAAGAAACAAGCATATTATAATTTATTTCAAATAGTATTCAAAATATTAGCTTGAAATTCAAAAAAACAAATATTAAATTTTAATGGTTCAGGCTGGCTTATTAAAATTTACAAAAAATCAGAGTTGCCTCATTTTTTATGTGTAAATTGTCCTACCTGAAAATTTTTTTATATGTAAATTTCCCAGCCTAGGCCATTATAATTTTTTAAAAATTTGCCGACACAGACCAGGCATGGTAGATCACCTGGACTATTAAAAAGAAAAATATAATCTTGTTCTCAAAAAGGGATAATAGTTAAATTTAAAATTTTGTAATTGATTTTATATTCTGTCTAAGGAATTAGAATTTCCTAAAGTTAAGTGCTTGTATTTTTATTTTATGAGCCAATTTTTTTAAAAAATGAAAATAATATGCACAAACTATTGTTGGAAGCTGAAATTGGAGAGAATATAAAGTTGACATCTTATATTTGTTAATTTTTTAACCTATGTTAAGGCAAGCAGTTAATTTTGGTTGGAAGGCTGAGGTCTCAAATTAGTAATTTGCCTATGGCCCAGGGGATAGTCATTGAACCATCAGGTTTTATACCATCATCAAATGAAAGATTTCTGGGTACTAAATTATTTGGAATGTGAACTTTTTTTAAAAGAAGGTTTATTAATATATTAATTAAAAAGTGGGTTTGCTTCTGTTGGCTTTTGTTTTAATGTTGTCCACGTATTCCTTTTCATTAGCATTTACTAAAAGTTGCAGTTCATGCGATTGTGAGGTTGAACAAGGTCTAACCAAATCTATCTTAGGTATTTATTTATTAAGAGAGTTCCCAGAATTTGTTTGACAAGCTTCCAACAATTTGTGACTCCCATTTTTTACCTTCCTTTGAAAAAGTTAATTATTTTGAGATGTAGAGAAAGATAAATTTAATTATTAAAATTATTCTTATTTAGAAAAATATATACAATTCATTTTTAAAGAAAAATCATGGAAACCCATTTTTACCACAAACCTTTGCCTTCTGACAATTCAATATTCAAAAACAATTTTAATGGCTCCAATCCTTCAACTTCCTTGGATGATTCACATTATGATGATGATTGGGAAATAATTTTAAATGAAAATAACATGACTGTATTAAGGCAGCAAATAGATCAGGGTGATCAATATAAATATAAAGGTTATAAGGCATCTTTTCTTTTTTCCTAAAGTGAAAATGAGAAAGTAGAATTTGAGAAAAGTTACAAACTTCTTCTTTTTTAGCTAACAAACTACCTAAAATTTTATATTTATTAGTTCATGGTACATTTGACGATATTCCAGCCTGGGCCTTTTACAAAGCTCAAGTAAATTATATTATATAATATTTTTATTTCTTTTTATATAGTTTTTATAATTTTTTTCTTATGTTTTTTTAATCTGATTGATATTGATACATTAGGTTGACACAGAATATCGCAAGAAATGGGATAAATATGTCTTAAATTTAGACATGTTACAACGTAATCCCAAAATGGATTGTGAAGTTATTCGATGGGTAGTTTGCTTTCCGGTAAATTATAATTACTTTTACATAATATATCTAACTTTTAGGGCCTTTGACTAATCCGATATTTATGCATTAACCAATACCAATTTAGCATAAAATATGGGTTATTATATTTTAAAAAACAGTATAATATATACTTAAAATTTTATTATTTTTTTTTACATTATAAAAAAATAATTTTTCTTACCAAAATTTTTAAATATAATTTTAATGGAAAACATGTCTTACAAGTTTGACCTAATTGAGCATTTGCGTTTCTTATGCAAAATGCAATCAATGCATTTCAAATGGTATCCAAGAAAAAAAATTTTCAAATTGTCTAAGACAAAAATTTTTCAAAGCAGCTATGTTATATATAAACCTCTTTATTAAGATTTAAGATGCATACTTTAGTTTCTGAGGAAAAGATGATGTCTTTTTAAAATAATATTTAGAAGCTATAATGTTTGCTAAATCTATTTTAAAAATTTTTTTTTAATCTATTTAAAAAAAATTAATAACAATTTCATTCTAGTCAAATAACTATCTGGGAAAAAAATAGGAATAGCATACCTTTAAATGTCTTAATGTGTATATACATCATCTTATGTCAAGATTTAAATAGAAAAGAGAAACAAAAAAGGTTCCTGCTACTAACAGCTTTTCCAAAAAAAACTATAAAATAAAGTTGAGTTATAATGTTTATTTAAAAAAAATAAGCTATAAACTATACTGATCTTCATTACTATTGTATTTTTTATTGGACCCACAATCGATTCACTTATTATTAGTGCACCAACAGGCAGAGAAATAGTATAAGATCAAGCGCTTTATAACAAACTTAATATGTTCTTAGCCACTATATAATATTAATTGGAGATGCACTGATATCAAGACTTGATACTTAACATCGTTAAAGGTGGCAAGAGCTAAAATCACCTTAGAGAAAAAACATTATATTTGGAATTAGAAAAAATAAAAAATCAGAGTTTGAAAAATAAAAACCAAAAAAATCTTTGAAATTTTATTTTTGGAAAACAGATTTTTTGTTCATTTTTTTGGAAAAATAGATTTTTTTGAAATTTTAACTAAAAATGTCAAAATTATTTTTAAAAAATCTTTAATTTTATATAAGGAAATCTTGTAATTTTCATGTATAAAATATTTTTCAAAATGAAAGCAAAAATTTTTAGAAAAATCTTGAAATTTTTATTTTCACAAATCTGCCCAAAATATATAAAACGAATTTTATTTAAAATTCATATTTAGCTAAGACCAGTGCTTTAAAAATAATTAAAATGGTTTTAATCATGTTAAATTTTATTTTAAAAATTTTCTAGATTTATATTTTTGACATGTTTTTATTTTTATATTTAAAAAAAGTTTATATATTTTTTTTGAAAAGTTTCAAAAGTTTTTGAATCCTATTTTTTGATATTTTAGACTTAGCGCCTGAATAATTTATTTTTTATTAATTCTTATATTTTATTATTTAATTCATTTTTATATAAAAAAACTTTTTACCACTAGCTGCCCGTTATTTGAACTAAAATTGGTACAAAATTATTATATAAAACCATCAAAAAAATAAATTTAATATAATTTTTGTCTTATATAATAAACACAACATTTTCTTTACTATAATAAATTGCCTTGGCATCAGCTAATGGCATGGGTAATATTTAAGGTATTATGTATTTATTGCATTTCTGATATTCATTATTTTATATTTATTTTGCATTTTTCAAAACAGTATCCCATGTATGATCGTGAATATATATTCGTTAGAAGACACAAAGTATATTTCTAGAAAAATTTTTTTTAAAAATAATTTTAAAATTACGCTCACTAGGGATAATTAAAATAAAATTTTTATGCGAAAACTAATATTTATTTTCGCTATACTCATTATTAATTATTTTACGAAGTAATTAACGGTTTTAGAAACTTTCGAGTCTTCACAATTTACTGCTACTTAAAATTTTTATAAATAATTAGTAAAGGGGGTCTGTAAAAGTAACATCGATAGTAGTGTCGTTGTACGGTTCTATTTTTTTTAAAACGGGAATAACTCAATGTATAAGCTTGGAAATTTTTGCTCATAGATAGCAGAAAAATATTATTTGGCTAAAATCTTAATTTATAATTGGCAAATTCGAGCGATTTAACAACACTAATCGACACCATCATCATTTCCTTTTTTAAAAAAACGCGAGTAAGGGTAATGCACTAACACGGACACAGCCAAGAGGACGATGAGCGATTTTTTATTAATTTATAAATACTTTAATTACATTTTTTTTTACCTGACTATAATAAATTCTATAAAACGCTAACTATATAGTAAGATTAAGGGAATAATCCAGCCAAATATTGATTATGATTATATTATGTGACAAGTTTTACTTATTAAATTTTCTACCAACAATCGGTATCACCGCAAAGAATGTGCGTGATAACGATAATCGATGATATTTTTAGGCTTAACACAAATTAGAGAATTCGTTCATTGTTTTCAAGATACCTGTATTGAGAATGCGCCGATTTTTTTTATCGATCTCGCTATTGGAATCAGATTGATCAGCTAAATTAATTTTTGATCTATACGTAATTATCTTGGAATATTGAAAAATACATTAAAATTTGTATATAAACAAGATGATTTGATTATAAAGACGGAGTTAGAATTGGCCAGTACCAAATCGAAACCCGATTCTATATGACGATTTCATTTGCCGATATTGATCCCTACTTTTGCTTGATAACATTTTTTTAAAAGTTTTCACTGGCACTTTAACATAATTTATGCATCTAATATATTAACTGTCAATCCCGAGATATTCACATTTAAAACAGGGGGATTGTATTATTAACAAAAATACCGTTGCAGCCTTAATGCACAATTTTTTTAAAATATATTCCATAACATAGAATTCGTCTAATGTGCGTTTTTATTTGTTTTTGAAATACTTACTATAATTTACTTTTGTCAATCAATAAATATATTGTAAACATTTATGTTTGTGTTTGATTGACAGATGAAAATTGACTATTTTCGCTTTTAAATACACTTGATATACAAAAAAAGATTTTAAGAATAAAATTTACATTTAACCAATCTCGTTAATGAAAAAAAAACAATCTAAAGTTAACAACTCAGTTAATTGGAAATTATTTTGATTTATATTTTTACCCTCCAAAAAAGTTTGATCCATCAAAAAACGTTATAGCTGTCCTTTCCCGTTCTATCCCTTACCCAACTCCGCCCATTGACAAAAAATTCGTGAGAGTTGATCGATATAGTTCAAACCTTTTTATCAAGCCCCATGAAACGATCGAAAAAGTTATTTTCTTAAAAAAATTGAAAATTTAATATTTTTAAAAGTTTAATTTTGTATAAAAAAATTTTATATTATAATTTTTTTTAGATAAGCTTCTATTATATTTTACAAACTTTTTTGAATGATTAAAATTACAGAATGGATTCGATTTTGTGTTGGAGTACAATGATGACCCGCAGTCAATGTTTCCTAATACTGTATATTCTTGGGTAACTAAATCGGGTATTCAAATTTCCAATATATGTTTTTCTAGGAAACCCTTGGAATTTTGGGAGGAAATATTGTGTACACCATTAAAGGAACAACCTAAAGGCAGTGTTTAAATTTTGGCATCTACCTCTTATTTTTGGAGACAATAAACAGAGATCTGTAAATCCTGGCCCGTCCTAAAGCCCGGCATGCTAATCGGGGCCATACAATTCGTATATAAAAAATTTTCGGGTCAAACAATTTTTACTAAAAATTAGGCTGGGCCTTATATTTTTTTGAATTTCATTAATATTTTGATTAATATTATTTAAAAATAAATTATATGCTTATTTGATTTCATTGTATTTTTAAAAGCTGGCTAACTAAAATACTTAAATCTGTAAACAATATTATAAATTTTTATTTATGATATGATTCAATTACAAACATACAATAAAGAAACCAAACACAGTTCATTTATATAACGGCTGTTGTGTAGAGCCCTAATTGACATTGTGGGAATAAAAATTAGATATTAAAAATGAGATGACCTGAAAATTTGTACAAAAAATGTAACGCGCCGTGCCGAGATTTAAAAAAAAATAGTAACGGGTCTCGTAGCTCAAAATTCTTAAGGGCCTGGCTTAGCAGATCTCTAACATCAAGAGTATAATTAGCCCATTTTTACCCTTATCGATTGTTATTCAAATAATGATTTTCTAAAAAAAATATAGGATTAAATATAATTATTTTTATATTAAAATAAAGTGTATACTTAATATTTATAATTTTTAATGTGGCAGACTATTTAGCCCCATTGTAAAGTTTAAAATTTTTATAAAAATTAACGAGGAAAATTTTAAGTAACTCTCATTAAAACCAATCTTATCTGTATAAATTCAAATGCCAAATTTTCATATTATAACATTGAAATGAAATACAAATGATATTTTTTTTAAACATAATTTATAATTTATTGATTCTAATATTTTTTAAAATTGTTGTTTATATCTTCTTATTTAAAAAAAAAGAATCTACAACACATTTATTGCAGTATATTAATTTTTTTAATGATAAGAAAATATTTTTAAAAAAAACAGTAAATTTTTATATAGTGCTATATAGAGTTATACCGATCCATAAATTTTTCTTCCTGATTTTACTATAAAACCGTTCCGATATTTATATTAATCTTTATTTACCAATAAAAACAATCTAATTTTCACTAATGATGTGTATTTAGTTTTTTTTTTAAATTCTCCAAATAGTCAATCATCTTATTTAAAATATGGGCAATGTTTATAGCCTAATTTAGTGTTGCTAAACTGCTCAATTTATTTAACCCATTTTCAAAAACGGGCTGAATAAAGATTTTAGCCAAAATATTATTCCTTAAAATTTTATCAATAGATATCCAAACTAGAGGTCTGCAATGAGCGGACATGGTTTAGCTGAATTTGACTCGTTAGATATGTTTAAACGTTTCTTGTAGATAATATAACAAAAAGTTAATACCATTATTAACTCCATTATTTTTCGAAATAATTTGATTTTTTTTAAACATTACGAATAAATTGAGTTTTGTTCCTTTTATTAAATATTATTTAATTATATATTACAATCATAACGCAAATCAATAAATATAGGATCGTTTTTTTTTAAAAAATCGGCCCCATCCGATATTTTTCAAAAACGAATATCGGCTCCGATATTTAATATCGGCACTGCCCTAGTATTATATCATATTTTCCTAAAATATTTTTAAAACCATCCAACCTAATTTTTTTTTTATAAAATTTAAAATTTCTCATATAAATATGTTTTAAGATTCCTTACATTGGCATATTTAAGGGACCCGTTTTGAGTATTTGACCACCGTCAACCTGCTAATTTTAGATTTGGATCTCCTTTTTTGCTCATTTTAGATTTGGATTTCTCTATTTTTTAAATTTTTTTTATGAACTGGTCTTAAAATAAGATCAATAATATTAGAACCAATTAATTTTACACGCTAGCGAGATCTATTGAACAACTCGTGAAAGCGAAAATTTGGTGTTCCAATTTAAAAAAAAATACATATATAGATTGGTCTTAGTGACATTTGCTTAAATTTTTATAAAAGCGAAAAACAAAGCTCTTAAACTAGAATAAAGTTAAACGCAGCCGCCACATTAAAAAAAAAGATTGTATACACCATATTATGTTATTAGATTTATTATTTATAATTTTCTAGTTTTTAGTAAATAAATCTTTAATTGAAGGACAACAGATAAGCCTAAAAATAGGTTATTTATAACGACCAGAATGCTAAAATGGGAGTACCTTTTTAGTTAAGTAAACTATAGTTAGAATACAAAATTGGCCTACCCGGGTAAACCTGGAAATCGCCATAAAACGGAGAAGAAGAAGAAGTTAGAATACAAAATTACACCCAAATTCTAAAAGGTGCGAAGAATTATAATCGATTTGACATGAAAGATTCAAACTTTTTACTTTAATGGAAAAGACTTAAATGTTATAATTTAGTTAGTTTAATAAGTCATTTTTTTATTATACAATATCTATAAAAGAATTTAAAATTTTTTTTTTATAGGAATCGTGGACTTTTTGAATCGACTGCACGATGCAGCAAAAGAACTATGCCAATCTGATCCCTGTATCAGCAAACCTTCGGAATGTATCAAAATGCCCAAAGAAGATATCAGAATATCTACAAGTAATCTGCTAAATGATTCTCGCGAATTGCCATCACGATCTTTCTCTTGACAATCTTCTATCAAAATAATTTATGTGCATTTGCAACTTGTTATAATCTTCATTATGCAAAATATCAGATGTAAATGTACGATTATAGGTTTCGGCAATTTTTTTTAATATAAAACTTTAGAGAAATTTACTCTTAGATTTATTATTTAAAAAAAAAATTTCTAATCATTTTTCATTTTATACTCTAAAATTTTCAAATTTAGTCGACGAATAATTGTTTATTTTATATTTAAAAAAAAATCAATTCATTTTAAATTATAGTATTTATACCTGCCATATGAACGTGACAATTTATACCATTTTACAAATAGACAAATCATAATGCTTTATTATTATCTTTTAATTATTTGATTATTTTGAAAGGATAACTTTTATAATGACATTGGTTATTAGTAAAATTATCTTATTTACTGTTAAAGTTTTTGTAGTAACAGGGACCTTGTAACTTGCCGGAACGAAGGGTGCCATATTTTTTTTGAGAAACAAAATGAATGATATGGGAATTTTATTTTTAAAAATTATCAATATTTGCTAATATTCCACAATATGTTTCCAGAATTTTTCCGATTCCCATAAAACATTCTCGTTCGGATTCGCGAAACTTTAATTTTAAATAATTGGCGGGAACTGAGAATCTGAGTGTTAAAAGAACTATCAAAGAACGGATACCAGGTGTCAGAAAATTTTTTTAACTAAAGAGACTTTGAGCATAAAAAAATGCTTTTATTTCTGGAACATTCCACTTTATAGTCGATAAAGCTTTTTTAGGATCCGATCTGATATCACCAATTATTAAATTGTTTTTTTGAAAACTAATAATGTTTCAGATCATAAAAAGTAATTTTAAATGTCATGCTATATATTAAATATCATAATTGAAATGTTGTACATAAAATTTTAGTGGTTAACTCGGGAGGGGGTACCTTTTAGTCAACATGCATAGTCAGTATCCATTTTATATGTTAGTAATTGGGGGGGGGGGGTTAAAGTAGTGTTGTTAAACGGCTCGATCTGAGCCGATTTTTAAAACGGCTAACTCAATATTTTATCCAGAATAATACTAAGCAAGCCTGGAGATTTTTTTCATAGATGACAAAAAGGTCTAGACATTAATTAGCAAGATCTCGAGGCTTAGGCAATATTATTCTGACTAAAAGATTGAGTTAGCCGTTTTTACAAATAGGCTCAAAATGAGCCGTTTAACAAAACTAGGTTAAAGGGCTTGATCGAGAGCTATACAAGTAGCCTTAAAAAATCATAAATGAAATATAAACCACAACGCTTGTTAATGGGCCAAAATTTTAAAACAAATTTATTAGGTTATAAGATATCTTGGATTGGAAATAGCATTATATGTGGGTAGAGTTTAACATTTGCTTAAATCAAAGATCCTTGTTCTTTTGAAGATCAAAAAATGTGAGAATTTTTTACGAAAAGATCTTCATTTATATAACTACAACAGTTTCCTATTCTTTGTTGATGGATAAGAATTCAATTAATTGATTTTTATTATTTTGCTAGTTATATTAACTTTGCAAAATATAATTTAGCTTTTATTAATTAAATTTACAAAATACCTTCCTAAAAAAACTTAAAATTTAGAGTCGCTGGATTTAATTTATATGTATATTGTTCAAAATGTTGTATGGTCTAGTTGGAGTATATTGGACACCTCTTTATTTTATGAATACTATTTTGATGGATTTTGCTAAATATGTTTACTTTTCTCTTTTTTTATAAATACTATGTTGTTGTATTTTGCAAAATATATGTTTTATAAAATAAACAGGATTCTAGATGGAAAAAAAATGATATATTACAAAATATGAAATATTATATTTTTGAGTAATTTTTATTCAAATGCATTAATTTTTGTATTATATTTGTAGAATTTTATTGATGAATTAACTCCCGAGATCAATTTCCAAACTTTCCAATATTTTCTCTAGCCTGCTAGTGTTTTCGTGTATTTTGAGGAGATTGTCATTGTTAAACGGCTTCTTTACATGACTATTTTTTTGAACATTCGAAAATTTATTATTATTACAATAAACGCGCTGGTAATTAACATTATTCGAACCGAGGGTGCCATTCGGGATTGTACCCATGATCTTTTGGTCAGGCGGTGTATGCTTGAAATTGATTTCGCCTTTTTTTAACCTGACGATACGATCTTTATAATTTTTAGGGTCTCGCAAGTAATTCTGATATAGCTTGGTAGCGCTCTCTTTATTAAGGTTAGTTGTTATATTATTACTCTTTTGGCTATGGCAGTTATTATTATTATTGTTTTTGTTATGATGACTATATTTGAAGTAGATTTTTTCTTGATTACTGGGGTTATTTTTGCTATTCGTTGATTTAATAGATTCATCATTCTCAGGAGTAGTCTCATTATTTGGGTTTTTACTCCCTTCATTTTTCCCCGGTTTAAAGATAGTAGGTCCATTTCCGCCTTTATGACCAATTTCTAGCAACTTCCTGCCCGTCTCACTTTGCATGGCTTTATAAGCTGCTTTGGATGTTTCTTCCAAATTCAAGCCACTGATATTGGTTCTTATCTTTTCCAGTCTTTCCCTCATTTCCTTTTCACTGCTGCTGTTATTACTGATCGATGATTTTTTACGGGTTCGATCAACATCGGTTGAGTCACTCACGTTTGAAAACATTTGATTACCGGTTTCGCGTATGGGCTCAGTCTTGTTAGATTCGTGGTCTGTAGAAATTTTTAAGATATCCTTACCATTTTTACTAAGATTGCCATTGTCTGCTATATCCATTATTGTGCCAGTAGTAGTCGCTTCTCTGTCGTTAATAAGATCGTCATCACTTTCGCGTTTCCCTAATCCATGAAATATTTTCTTATCAATAGAGGATACCGAGGAATTGGATAACAAGGATAAAAGGCTCATTTTAGCTCTCTCTCCTTTATCGTATTTCAAATTTTTAAAATCTTTTCCGTTTGTATCATCTATTTTATTATTTGGCATATGTTTTATGGATGACTCTGATTTTTGCGATTCCAGGGAAAAAGAATTTGCAGGGAGTGATTTAATATTTGGTGATGTCATCCTTCTTTTATTAGGGGACTTATTCTCGGTTTTCACATTTGAATGCAAAGATGGTACGGATTGTTTATGCCTAAAATGCTTCTTTGCGGAATCTTTCGAAAGTTTCAAGCTTGAACTACTAATAGTGTTCTTTGTATCGTCATTGTATTCCTTATTTATTTTGTTTTCATGATTTGATTCTTTTCTCTCATTGCCAAATCCATTCTCAATACTATGATTTTTCCCCACTTTGGTTGGAACATTATCTATATGTATGTATTTAGGTTTATCAATCGTATTCATCTTTGCCATATTCTTATCATTAGGACCATTTCCTACATCAAAACTATCATTTGAAGAGTCTGAAAGGGTAGTTGACACATGTTTCAAGTCTAAAATGTTTTCACCGAATGCATTTTTATTGTCTATACTGCTATTTTTTCTCATAGAATGTCGAGACAAGTTTCTATTTATTAAATCATCAATACTTGTGTCCGAAGATATTAAAGAGTGTTTACTGAACTTTTTAATCCCCATGACCTCCGGAGATCTATCATTAGGAACCGAATAGTTTCTGTCAATTTTTTTAGAATTTTCTTCCTTATTCTGATCGACACTCTTGTTGATAATAAGTTGATTTAATTGAGGTAAATTTCTTTTTTCTGGTCTCGTTAATATCAAAGAATTAAGCGAATTAGACGAAAGGGATGATTCATCGTCCGAGGACAAAATCTTGAAAGAAGATATCGAAACCTTTTTAACCGGGCTACCTTTTTCGGGTGTCTTATCCAATCCATTTGCAAAGGTTTTTAGTGGCTTTATAGGCTTTATAAGTAATAATAGAAAATATATATTGGTCTATAAGCTGTGTCCAAAACATCAAAAAATTAAATTCACAAACTTTCAAAACTTTAATGAAAAAAAATTAAAAAGTACGATTTCAATTAAAAAATATTGCGAAAGTTTTAAAACTTTTCGAATTTCTTAAAATAGTTTTGGACACATACTTTAAAATAAACATATGAAAACTCTACATTAATAATAAATGTCAGATTAACTGATGCACAGACACAGTATTGTTTATCAGCCGGTTCTGATTCAAACATTTAGCATTACTTTATTTTGAAAAGAATCTCGGAATCTATTATATTTTCTTGATAAAATATACAGATACTTTTTTAAAATTTTATTTAAAATATTTAATAACAATATATAACCTAATTTTTATCTTGAAAATAAATAAACAACACCAATCAAAATGAGTAATGCTACATTATATATATATTAATGTTACTAAATAGAATATCACTTTTATATTACTTTCTCTTGGCTTGGCAGTGAATAAGAAGATAGTACTGAAGTCTTATAAATGGATCTGGGGAGTAGCAAATTAGGGTAAAATTTTCAAAAATTAAAAAGCATTATATATATAATCTTTTAATTAACTCTTAAAATTATTTTTTTTTAAAAATTAAATAGTCAGAGGACGGATTAATGATTCTTGATAATAAATACATTCAATTATCGTATGGAATTATTTTAAGGTGTGGCAAGCAGAATGATAACCAATTTTGTGAAACGATATTTCTTAATAGATCTGAATTTGATGTAATTTTTAGGCTTAGCATAAATTTTTATTTTGGTATAAACATGCGAAATTAGGTTTATTTTATTAAAGCCAGGCCTTAGGTGGTTTTCTTTAAAATTAATATAATATTTGTCATTATTTAGATAAAAATTGCCATTCTCAGTCTTTATAATAAAAAATTAAAATATAGCTTTAAACAAACCTTAATAGGTGTGTTACATTCGTTTTCTGTCGCAATGTTTGGTGATTTATCCAAACCGTTTTTTGAGCCATTTTCACTCTCATCATTAATACTCATGATATGGTTATCTTTGCTTGTGTTATAATTATTATTTAGCGCACTAAGCTGATTTGCAGGCATATCTACTCTTTTGATCAAATCATTTAATCCGTTCGAGTCGACATGTTGTATATTATTAGTACGTGAAGCATTTAATGAACTTATTTGATTCGTTCCATTATTTTTGATTTCCATCGCGGAACTGTAATCATCTGACATTGGTCTCGTCAATTCGCCCCTCTCGGGCCCATCTGGCAAAATTTTATTGAAATATTGAGTTAGTGATTGTTTACCCATATTTATTTTAGATCTTTCGATCTCATGCGTGGGTAAATA